TGTCAGTGGCACTCTTTTTTTACTCGTTTTTGAAAATTACTAAGTTCCCCTCTATTTTGATAATATGAGGCCTCATTTTAGATGAGCCACATCAGGGTTTCATCATGAAGATAGGATCTACGTAGGATGCACTTAAATAAGTTACTTTAAAAAAAAAAAAAAAAAAGCATTTGGAGTGGTACCTACATCTAATAAGGAGGAGTTGGTTTGGCACTGTAGGATCAGCATTGGACTGCCAACTACGAGATTGGCAGTTCAAACCTACCAGTTGCTCTTTGGAAACCATAGACAGGGTCACTATGAGTTGTAACTGACTTGACAGCACTGAACAACAATATGTGTTGTTGTTGTTGCTGTCACTTACACTGTCAAATTCATCAGTGAAAGTTGATCAGTGCTTACATAGCCAGGCATTAAGAAGATGAAAAAAAGAGATGCATTTCCTATTTTTGTTGAGCTTACAACATACTTGAGGAAAGCACACACATAATAAACACACTCACAGGTTTAATTTTAATAACTGCAGTAATGTCACCACAATTACAATATTGTGTGTGTTTTAAATTTACCTGTGGTGGTGGTGGTTATGTGCCATGGGGTCTTAGAGAGGGGCATAATGTGGTGTTTAGCTGGTATGCAGAGGGCATAACTGATCAAGACTGAGAGACCAGAGAAGTCTTCCAGAATGAAACTGAGTGTTGAAGATGAGTTGGGGGTGAGGAGAGTAGGGGTAGGAGAACTAGGAGTATTTTTAGAGAGTGCTTCTGCATGCCTCGTACATAGATGAGGTTAACACTTCAGGAGACAGAGATGTGAAGAGTAGAAAAATATGATACTGCCAGCTTCAAAAATTACAGTATGCCAGTTCTAGGACTTTTGGACAGTAATTCATAGAGGTTGACTCTCAGCAGGAGGAGGATTCCATCAGGTGGACTTAGTGAGGTCCTTGGTGATGGCATAGAAGATGGATTGTGGGTGCTGTGTTTGATGGGGGTTCCATAAACTTAGCTAGTGGATACAGAAGGCATGAGAGGGACACAGTTTCTCTGTGACTGGTGTCATTGGAGCTAGAAGTAGGTTCCTCACACAGGCCTTGAGTTTCTTGTAGTCCTCACTGGCTTTCAGATTGCCTGTGGGTTGCCAATTGGGCAGCTATCACGCAGCTGCCGGAAGTGCAGTGGGACTTGGGATCTATGCCCAAAGCTTAGAGGCTTCCCCCCGCAGAGTTGTGGGTGTTGGTTTATGTCACATTTTTTATATTGGTAACATTTTTGACTCCCAGCCACAAGAACCTCCCTCCTTGTACATTCAAGCTTTGGTTTTAAATTGGAAGAGGGATGGGTGAAAAACTATGTTTTTGCTTTAACATTTTAAAGAACCAGTTTTGACTCTTGCAAATTTAAATGCTGTCAGTGAAGGTGAAAGCATGCCCTTCTTCCAGCAGTCTCTGAATGTAGACAGGTGAGGTGAGGCAGTGGGGAGGCAGTCATGTGTGACTGAACTCAAGCTATATCACAGGGCAGGCAGGAGGCATGGCGATGCTTTGCTTGCTGCTTGTTTTTCTAGCTGGTGGTGGGAATGTCTAGAAAAGATTTCTTCAGTGAAGGGGATCCTGTCTATAAACCTCTGCAGTTGATTTGGTCCAAACAGGGCTGAATTACAGCCAAAAAATGACTTCAACTATTTATCTTCCCAGAAGTGTTTGAGTGTTAGCCTTTCACCTGACACTGGTGAAGTTTTCATGCATTATCTCACTTAAACCTTATAATGAATCTGAAAGGAAGTTCTAATTATTAACATTTTACAGGTAAAGAAGCTGAAGCTCAGCAAATTTAAAGAATTTATCCAGGGTCACAGGTTGCCAATGACAGAGTTGTAACTTAACCTAAGGTCCATATGACTCAGAGCAGCACTCTTAGCTACCACACAAGTTTACCTTCATTTGATAATAGACAATGTTTGAGTTTCTTGGGTAAAGTAGTAGGAAAGACTATTTGATATATGTAACTTCATTTTGCCATAATTGTGATGTTTTGGGAAGGACATTAAATATTTATAACTTTTATTAATATTGTTAATTAGGGAGTTTTGGCTTGTATTTTGGTAGTGCTTTGGGCTGGAAACCTCAAGGTCACCAGTTCAAACTGACCATCTGCTCCACAGGAGAAAGATGAGGTTGTCTGCCCCAGTAAAGATTTGTAATCTCAGAAAGTCCTATAGGGCAGTTCTACTCTGTCCATGAATTTAAATTGATTTGGCACCAGGTTTGGTTTTTGGTTTGATTATTGATGTCTTGAGAAGATGTAAACATGGAAATACTTAGCTATTTCCGAAGCCCATTGTCAGTGCAAGGTGTAATGAGTTTAGAAACATTTTAGTAGTCAGGTCTGGTGTAAAAACCTTCTTTGGCAACCTGATTTTTGTGTAGCATTTAAAGAGACACTGCCTGGCTTCGCCATCTTGGTGTTTCCATGTAGTTGGCTCTTAGGAAGTGCAGATGGAAAATCATTAGCACTTCTCTCCTTCAGCAAATTGATATTTCATCAAGCCCAGGCTCTGCCCTCTTGAGGACAGTGAGTCTTTCACTTATCTAGGACAGAGCACCAGGTCACAGTAACCACCACTGAAGGAGATTGTGTGCTTTACTTGGTTGTGGAGAGGTCACGGGGAAAGTGTAAGCTGCCAACTCACTGTACTTGGCAGTGGTTCAATTCTTTGACAGGCCTACCTCTGATTTAAACAAATTTGAGAAATATGTAAAGTTTTGGAAGCAGTTTTGCACTGATTTGATAAAAGAAACCACAAAACACTGCAGCGCAGGTGTTGAGAATGTTTGAAAGCTGATTGAGGGAAGCAGATGGCTTTAGTCAGTGGCATCCAGCCAAAAGAGCAGGTGCTGGTCACGTGACCGCTGGTTACCAGGGTAATCTGATTGCTCTTGGCGTGCAGATGAAAGGAAAGGGGCCCAGTGTTCAGCTGTAGTATTGTATAATTTGTGGCAGTTAGAGCGGAAATAAATGCTGGAAATGGAGCCTCATAGTAGGGGAGACTTCTGTCTGTGTGTACCGTAAACACTAGGACAGTTGGATGAGGGACTGTTGTATGGATTTTTTTTTTTTTAATTTAAAAAATATTATGTTTTCTGTGGCTCTTTTGAAAATTTAAAGTTTTTGAACACTGCCCACCACTCCCCACCCCCAGTAAAAAGAACACTAACTGCTGTTTGTTATGATCTTGTTTTCTTTCCTCATGTGCTTATTTACTATGTGAAATGTTGACAAGACAAAATAAAAACAAGTTCAGTATTTAAAAATAACTTTTATTTATTGAAAAAAATAGATGTTTAGTTGTGTGGTGAATACTTTATTAGAAATCCTTCTGAACGTTTTTGTGATACATGCTTTACTTAACAAACAAACAAACAAAAACTGTATTGGTACTCTGTCCTCTCTTCCTCGTATTATACCTGATACTGAAAAATAAACTAAAAATGCTGTTTAACATACATGCTACCGGCTCTCTGTTCTGGGAATCCACAGACTCCAGTAGGTGAACTTTTAAGAGATTTTTGAAATAATCTATTTTATTTTGAAAAGGTATTAGGGTTTTAGGCTCTCTTTTCGTGTGGCACTGTAGGATCAGCACTTGACTGCTAATTGCAGGGTTGGCAGTTCAAACCCACCAACTGCTCCTTGGAAATCCTATACAGAGTTGTTGTGAGTCGGAACTGACTTGACAGCATTTAACAACAACAACAACAGAAATAGTAAAAAAAATTATCACTGAGGTTCGATTATTTTAATTGCTAGATGTTTTTGTTGTTAAGTACCATGGAGTCAGTTCCGACTCATAGTGACCCTGCACAGGGTTTCGAGGCTGTAAATCTTTACAGGAGCAGAATGCCTCATTTTTCTCCCGTGGAACCACTGGTAGTTTCAAACTGTTGACCTTGAGGTTGGAAGCCTGACTCATAACCACTATGCTACCAGATGGCAAGTAATAATTAAGAAAATTGAGGGCCAGTTTGTAGAAATCGAGGTGGTAGCACTACATGTACGTTCTAAGAGAATGTCAGGTTATAAAAAGTAATGGTAGAGTCCTGGAGTGATACTGTAGGATAATCACTGGATTGCTAATGGCAAGGTTGGTGGTTCAAACCACCAACCACTCCTCGGTAACCCAACTACATGGCACATAATAACAAAGGTAAACTGGAAAATAAGAAAAACACCTTTTTTTTTCCTAAAATTTTTACTCGTATCTTTTGACTTAATGTATCATAGAAATTCTATTAATGATTGACAGAAATATATGATGGGGTGTGTGCTTTAATTTACTGCTACATTTTTGTATTTTAGTAATGTAGCTTTTGAAAATAAGTCTAATTTTGACTATGCCAAAAAATACCTAGTGCCCAAATATAAAGCCTAATTTTATTTAAGAAAGTAATTAAATTAATTAAATAAAATTGTGAAATATAGGAAATTGTTATGTATTTTAAAAGCTCCCAGTTTGCATAAAAATATAGCTGAATGGTATAAAAGAGGACACTTTAGATACAAGTACAAGAATGCAGAACTATCTAGAAAAGACACAGAAAAAAGATTATTATATTCTAGTTTTCCTTGACAATTTTTGAAGAAAATAGTCTGCACCTTAAAAACTTGATAGCAAAGTTCCTCCTTTATCTTATTTTTCATTATGTGTTGTTGTGTTGGCAGGAATTTTGCATTGTCTAGATGAATAAATGTACTGTCTATTAGGAGTATTTGCATGCAATTTCTTTTTTAATTAGATCAGATACATGATAAAGGTCATAATGCAGAAGATGTACTATAAAAACTTAATTGCAAATGCCACTTACCTTTAAATAGCTGAAATGCATTGCTTTGTAAAGTCATTGATTCTTGAGAGATATGAATGTGGGAATATATAAGGCATGGGGCATGTGGAAAACCACATTAAAAAGTGAACACTAAGTGATCCACTTTGAATTCTAGTAATAAGAAACCTGATTCAGAAGCAAGTGCTTTGAAGAAAAAGGTCACCAAGGGGAAAACAGAAGGTTCTGAAAATTCAGACTTAGAAAAAACACCCCCACCATCTCCTCCTGAAGACGATGATGACCCAGGTGTTCAGGTAATACCATTATTCTGATACTCAAGCCTTGATTATTTAGTATGGGTAACTCTAGATGGGTATAAAGTACAACAGTAGACCTCCCCTAGTTTTGTTCTAGAGATGCTTTTAAAGCTGTCTTTATTATTGTTTGGAACATTATATCCATAGTGATGAGAGCAGCAGGGTGAATGTGAAATTAAACTCTTGACCAGAATGTCGTGGTTTTGCTGTCTTTGTTTCCATAATAAAACTGAGAATCTTTTATCTTTTATTGCTGTAAATGTGTATTTTTAAGTTTGCATTTGTTATCATTATTGTCTTGGTTAATATGCTCATATTATTAATCTATCAGTTTGTTTAGAACTTCATTTTCATTTTTAATTTTCTCTTCTGTGTTGCTTGTCAATGTTTTTTTAACAGAACAAAACAAATTGTAAGTTGTAGCTTGTCTCAAGGTTCCTGATATGTAATGGTCAGAATTGAGATATTCATGTGATACTAGACTTTCTATGAACAAATTAGTGACTTTTTGGATGGCAACTCAGCAAAACTTTTGTGTTAGGTTTTCTTGTCTTTTAGAAAATTTTATGGGAATGCACTGAAATCCATATTAGGAATTTTGGTTCTTGTGTGTTAAGCACACTGTTTTCCCTGATTAGATGGGAAAGGATCCTTACACATGACAGTTAAAAATGATTTCTCTGTTAGGTTCCCTGGAAGCATGCCAGTGTGGCCCACTGGGATGACTGGCAATGTAGCCTCTGTGAATGACATCTGAGCTCTCCAACAGCAATTCCTGAGGAGTCCTTTTGGGCTTAGAATCTGGCCCTTTAGGAGCTTGATTGAGTTATTATATATTCAGTGCACACTCAGTACTTCCCTCTCACACCCTTACTAATTTGCTTAAAAGTTTGAAACAGCAAAGTATTAATGATGTTTGCCGTAGTCTAGTCCTAGTCTAACGAATTTCAGATATTTTGGGTTCGACTTTAGTAGAACTCCCTGTCATCTGTAACTTCACAGACTGACCCAAGCTTAGAGAAGAGGACTTATTCCAAAGGGTAAAGAGTATGAGCAAATGTGGTTTGGTTTGGTTGTACTAGTGTAGTAGCTGTGGCAGTTTAGGTCAGTTTTGTCATTTCCTTTCATTTTATACACTGGTAAAAAGATATTGGGAAGTTTATTTTATTGATAGGGAGTTTTAAACTAAAGTATTTTAATGATTTTGAATTTCATTTTTTCTCAAGATATTGTATCCCTAATTGTATTTGCTTGGACTAGGACTTCTATGAAAATAGTGTATGTACAACATTAAGGAAATATATTCATATTAGTCAAGAAAACTCTGTTACTTTTTCACCAATATCGCTTACATACATATTTTTTAAGTTTATCTTTATTAATGCTGATTCAAATGGACTTAATTAAATACTAGTGCCCCCTAGCCATTTGCATTTCATTTGAAGAAAAATAAATAAATTCAAATGAACATCAGGACACCCTTAACTGCTATGGGCTCACTCTAGAATATAAGCCACTACACAGATACATCTGATGGTGTAGGTAGTACTTTCTCAGGATCTGTGATACAGGAAGTGATGCCAACTAGTTGTTTATTATGTTTCTTCTTGTAACATGCATAAAGGGATTAGAGGCAAAAGACTTGAGTTGTGATTGATTTGTTTGTACTTTAGTGAATGTCACAGATTACCACAACAGTCAGCTCATGGAAACACACTTAAATCTTCTCATTCATATTCCTGTCTTAACTAAAATTAAGTCAGTTTCCTAATACAATTCAACTTTAGACGTAAAATTCTCCAAAGTTGTTAATGTTTATTTGCAAGTTTTAAGTTATATTTTAAATGCAATTCTTCACATTTCGTTTTGATCCTCAAAAATCTTTTGGGTAACAATAGCTTAACAGATCTTAATAGAAACATATTAAGTAATCACTTAATTTTTATTTATTTATTTTTTAATTAAAGAGCTAACTCTTGGGAAATTTGGAAAGGAACCTTAGTACCTAAAATAGACTCATTTATTATCAATTATTATGTAGGAGAGAGAGAGAAAGAAACCATATGATAATTTTAAATTTCAGGAAATTGAGTTCTAAGGGTGCTGGATTATATCTACTGGTACCATATCAACTATGACTGTGTGTGAGAAAACCTGTTGATATATCACAGGTATATTGCTAGTAACATGTTCCTCCTTACCACTCATTGTAGAAAGGTGAAAATTTGTGTTAACCCATTTCAACTTGGTTAAATTGATATATCAAATGAAATAAAAGATGTTTTGCTAAATTTCACAAAACTAAAATGTTTTTGATAATAGTATTTAATTCTTAAAGACTTTAGTGAGGGGTGAGAAAGTGGGCCCCAGAGCAGAGTAAGTGTAGAGAGCAGGAAGGCTATGGCTAAGCCTTGTAGCCCTGTTGTTGTTTCCTATTGGGGAGGGAGTAGCAGGTTAATGATGATGTTAGTTACCAATCTGTTAATCATATTTGCCTGTAACATGCACTATATCCTGTTCTAAATGCTTTCAGTAAATTTCCTCAGGTAAGTCTCACAGTATCCTTATGAGGTAGTTGCTATCATTAACCTCACTCTGCAGATCAGGAAACTGATGTCCACAGCACTTGTTCAAACCCAGTCACTCAGCTCCAGGAACCGCAAGGTCAAGCTGCCTCCAGTGATGTGGAAAAGGGCCCCAGAGGGCTTCTATGTGGGCAGCACAAATACTTTCTAGTGGAGTGGAGGATCAGAAGAGGAGTCCTGGCCCATGTGACTGCTCCCTTTTGATGAGCCACAGAAAGTATGTAAATAAAATGAAACCCAGTGTTTAGAATTGAAAGGTACTCAGTGGCTGAGCCATGCCATGACTGTGTAGCGTTAGGAGCTGACAGTATTGAGAAGCCCACTTAATGGACTTATTGTGTTGTGAGTGCCTCAAGTTCTTGTTCAAAAGCAGAGAGAGCACAGACAGAATAAATAAAAATTATAGTTGACCCATGAACAGTGTAGGGGGTAGAGGTGCTGACCCCTGACCTCTTGAAAATCCATGCAATATCTTTTGGCTCCCCCAAATTAACTGTCTGTTGCTGACTGGATGCCTTATCTATAGCATAAAGAATCATTGAGCACATGTTTTTTTAATATTATACCTATTATACATGGCACCCACATAAAAGTTCCATTTTCAATATGACATTAAAAGGTATTTCACAGAAAGTGCAATGATGGCATAGCGTGAGTGATGGCTTCACAAATTTCTCTTCCATGTTTTTTATAGTAGTTCTTTTGTTGAATTCATTTATCTTGAAGTGGCAGGCAACTGCAGCTGCAGATCTCAATCTTTATACATATCAGGTCAATTCAACCTTTTTTAAAAATAAGTTTTTATTGTGAGGTTTACATGGATAAACATCAATTTTACATTCATCCTATCGTATTTTGTTTCATTGCAATGATTGCAATTCCCTACATGCATCATCAAATAACCAAAGGGTACTCCCCACAGCCCCGCCTCCTGGCCGTCAGTACACAGCCCCTCTCCCTCCCTGAGTTCAGTGCCCCCAGCTGTTCCATCTGTCCACGTCATCATCTCTGTATCCATCCCTGGCATCACTGCCTCTCTGGGTAGGGTCCCACTCTCCACTCTTTTCACTTGACGGTCCCAGGGACCTCCGCTCCTGGGCTGCAAAATCAATCCCTCCCCTCCTTTAGTCAAAAAACATCTACCTCTATATTTCCTACCCTTACAGTCAGTCCTGATAGCAGTTATTCACTCTATTACCACAAGAGTCTTATCCCCATTTCCTTTTGCCAGCCTGGTCCCAACAGATTGGAAATCATTCAATGGAGATTTTACCTTCCCCTTCCCCATCTGGAACTAGGCTTCCTCTTGAAAGCTTGTAAACCAGTCCCTTCTTCCCTTTATGTTGTTGTTGTTAAGTACCATGGAGTCAGTTCCCACTCATAGTGACCTTGTACAGGGTTTCCGAGGCTGTAAATCTTTACAGGAGCAGAAAGCCTCATCTTTCTCCCATGGAATAGCTGGTAGTTTCAAACTGCCGACCTTGAGAGTAGCAGCCCAATTTGTAACCACTACACTACCAGAGCTCCTTTATAGGCCCCCTCAATTTGGGTAGCCAATGTCTAAGTTGCCCATCCCTGTCAACCCTGTGTACTGAGGGGGTGGGAGTGATCCTCACTATAAAGATTTGTCCCCTTTTTTGAGCTACTACATCCAAAAGTATAGGTAAAGTTCATCAAATTGTAGTAGGTTACTCTTTTTTCCCCCCGCCTCTTCTTTCTTCTTCTAGTCGAGTTCTGATTATACAGCCATCAAAGCCAGGTCAAGTGAGTACTATCTGCAAGTATGGGTGTTCTTGTGCATCTCCCCTCACTTCATATCAGCTGGATGCTCTAGTCCTCTGTGGCCATGTCACTGCCTCTGGGCCCACGAGTCCCCAGGTCTTGCTGTACTTCTGGCCATCCAGGTCTCCACGCGGGTTCACAGGGGTCTATTGAATGTGGTTGGACTTAGCTCGCAACTTCATTGCTTGCTGTTTTTTCTCCTCTTCACCTTATCGGTGATCAGTGTGGTCACCAGCCAGACTACCTGCCTGCTCATGTATTCCCCTTGAGTCTCAGTTGTGCCAAGGGTGTTAGCTCTGAGAGGACCTAACCACTTGCTTTGATGGCTCCTGGTCAAACAGCTTACTTGTTCTTGTAGTAATCAATCAGACTGCTGTTATTGTTTCAGTTTTTTTCCTGCCAGTCTCAACTTTTCTTATAATGCTATAATTTTTCTCTGCTTCATGGGAACATTTCCATTATCACTATGGCACTTTGTATGGGTCCTGTGGTGTTAGTCACTGTTTACAGATTGCAGTAAACACAATGAAAAATGTGGGAGAACAGTAACAGATCACTTTACTGAGATATTTAATTTACTACAGAGACAAATTGCTCACACAGAGATTATTAGCATTATACAACATTAAAAAAAAAAAAAAATCAGTGTTTAAGTGGGCTGTGCAAGGGTCCACTGTAGTCAGTTTCACAATTTGGGGAATGATGCTGGGACTGTGGTCCTAGAAGCACTTTAACTGTCACTCCTTTGGTGTCACGTTGGCAATTTTGCCATTCTTTGCCTCCCTGCTTCACCTGGAAAGTGTGCCCATGAAGTTCTTTAAAAAGTTTTATTTCAGAATTTTTAGAAGGAAGTTTTAAATATAATCTTAAGTGTTAGCTTGCCTCGATTTTCTTTCTCGAAGTGTTTTATGAACCCATTGTATATGTCTTAATATTCTTGTATCTATCGGCAATTTGAAAGTGTGTTGTCTCCAGACAATAAGCACTGGACTGCTAACCAATTCATCAGCCACTCAAAAGGAGAAAGATTAGGTTTTCTTCTCCTGCAAAGATTTAAAGCTTTGGAAACTCTACACAGAGTCGCTATGATTCAGCACTGACTAGAGGGCACTTAATAACAACAATCTGCAATTTAAAATGTACAGTTGTCATTTTCAAATTAGATGTTATTGCATATATGTATTAATGAAAAGATTGTTGTTTTCCATTGTTAATGAACTTACAAAACCAGTTTTTGTCAAAAAGTGCAAACAATATCTTAAACAGAAGTAATACTCAACCCTCTGCTCTTCACTTCTCTCTGTAAAATTAATAGCTATTAACTTTCTCAAGTTTTTCTGGTTGTGTGATTTTTTTGTTTGTTTGCTTGTTATTGAAAACACATTGTATGTCAATCTTTTACAAAACATCCACTGAGACATTGAGAAATGAACACAATGTGCATTTGTCCTGTAAGACTGTACTTAGATTTGTTTATGTTTTGACCACAGCAGAGTGAGAGTACCATTTTTCCTATAATCCTACTAACATTACCTCTTATCAGTCTCTTAAATTTAATTAGTGTGGAAAAAATTAAGTTTATGAAAGTAAATTACATTTCATATTCATTCGCTATAAATTTTGCCATTTTAAATATTCAACTCTTCAAAAAAGTTCAGAATATTTTTGTAAGGATCAAGATTAAAATACAATTTAACTGGTCTTTTATAAATATTATGGATTTCTTGAATAGTATTATAGCAGTATATGTGTAGAACTTAATAAATTACAGATCATCTTATAATGCATTCATTTTTTATAGTTTTTATTATGGGACTATATAAATAAAAACATACAAAAGTGGGGAGAACAGTTTACTATGAATCCTTTTGTTTCCACCACCCCTTTTCAATATTGCCTTGACACTTTACTGTTGTGATAGTTGAATGAGTAATGGGACTTGTTTCCATTTTCCAGTTGAAGGCCCCGAAGCTGAAAGTGACAGACCAGGGCTGTGGTTTGGCTATTAAACTCCACATGTTTGCTCATTTCCGTTTTATTTGTTGCCGCTGTGATCTTGTAATATGATTTAAAGTTAGAAGTTTATCCATAAAGATAAATTTCCAGAGATACTATTTACCTCTCTGAGATCTAACAAAGACTAGCAGACTATTATTTAACATCCACACTGTTGGGGTTCCATTTTAGAAGAGGCGTTCCAGCAGACAGGTGAAGAGGAAGCGCTATACTGAAGACTTGGAATACAAGATTTCGGATGAGGAGGCAGATGATGCAGATGCTGCTGGAAGAGATTCCCCGTCCAACACCTCACAGTCAGAACAGCAGGTGAGTCAGAACAGCAGGTGAGTGGTCAGTCATGGGTGATTTGTGTGTGCATTTTAGAAGATGAGATGGAAATTTTGTAGTTGGCATCAGAGAAGTTAAGCAGTAGCATTGGACTTTTTAACTGGGGAAACTTCATCTAATGTTGGCTTATATTCTGTGGGAAATTAGCTGTTTAGCCGTACCCATTAAAACTCCTTGTTCACAGAAATTTATTTTTATACATAACTGTGACATGTAGTTTGACACAATTTTATAGAATCAACGGTCTGTGCTGAGGAAAGTCTGAGCTTGAGATATAAGGTGGTTGGATTTGCCTCTGAGAATTCAGTGCTGTTGCTTCTGGGACTTTAATAAACCTCTCAAGCTTGTCTCCTGCTGTTAGGCACCGTAAGAACCCCTTTATAAAATTACTGCCTTTGTAGTACCCAACAGGGTATACTTGATTCTATGTGCAATGTAAATGATGGATAAAATAGTTTATAAAATGTTGGTAGTCATGCAGGACTGATTATTGTAAAGAAATCTATTTTTTGTTTTGTTTTGTTTTTATTCAATAATGCTCTATTCTTACCAGTACTGTACTTTAGTTAACAAACTGGTAACTCATTAGAGAATATATTGAATGCAGTTTTGTATTTTATATGGTAATGTGTGCTATGTTAAGTTGTCACATAGGATTTTATGTGACCTCCATAGATAAAAGCAGCCTGCAATACCAGAATGACGAGTATTTTTACCTCATGGTTACAGAAGGAAAATAGTTACATTTTTGACTACTATCATGCAGGGCTTATTTTTTTTTTTTGGCAGTAAGAGTTTCAGAATACTGGCTTTAGGGACCCATCCCAGTCTGAAAGTAACCTTAATCATGTAGTCATAAACAGAGATCTTCATTTTTCTTTTTGGAGAGTGAGATTTTCACTCTCTTATTATTTCTCAATGCTGATTTTGTTCTCAGTGATTTAAAGGGTATGAGTTGAATGGTATGGAGGTTGAGGCTAAAAAGTCTCTTGCTTTTGTAGTTTAGATTGACATGTTTTCCATTTGGATATCCATTCTACTTTTTTTTTAAATAGGAATCTGTTGATGCAGAAGGTCCAGTGGTAGAAAAAATCATGAGTAGTCGTTTAGTCAAAAAACAGGTAAGTCTCTAAACTTACTAGTTGTTTATAATTTTCTTTTAAAATTTCTGTATCACAAAGTAGGAGCCCTGGTGTGGTGCTGTAGGATAAGCCCTGGACCACAAGGTGGGTTTGAACCACAGGGTCGGTGGCTCAAATTCAACTAGTTGCTCTTCGGAAACCCTACAGAGGGTCACTATGAGTCAGAACTGACTCCGTTGCACTTAACAACAGCATTCACAAAGTAAAATTTCATCAGTTTTATTTACCCAGTATAGATCTTGGGATGTTCAACCCCATATAAATACATCAGGCAATAATTAAACCATGTGGAGTAGGCCAATAACTCAAAGATGTCTGAAGGAATATGTTGGATATTTTGACTTTTATTCATAAATGTCACTCATACAAATTGTAAACGTGAATTGACCTCAAAGATCTCTTAGGAAGCTTTTTTTTAATCATTTTAACAAGTAAGTGTTTTTTCAGTTTTACGCTGTCAGTTGAAATATTCACTTTATTGCCAGTACAGAGGGCTGTGTTCATTTTCAATATAATGACTTGTTTCTTAAAAATATTCAAACTTCATATTGATCTGGCAAAGTACTTTCTTACTAACTGAAAGCCTTGGCATTTAGAAACTCTTACTATTCAGGAGAGAATTCCAATAACACTGAATTTTCTTTCATTGACTTTCCCCTTGGATCCCAACCATCCCCCTTTTTGCTCCATTTGAAAAAATGATTTATGTTGTGTTGAGGAGTATCGTAGATATCCTGGAAGCCCCTCTGGAATGTGGCTGCCTTTAGATATTTGGATATGTCTTTTAACTTGAATGATTTGTCAAACCCACAGTTATGTGTTTTGATTTGCTTCTTTAAAGCGGAAAAAGTTTAAATTCATCCTTTTGACATGTAAAAGAAGTTTCTTGCATTAATAAAATGTATACCAAAGGTACTCAGACCTTGCATTATGTAGGGTATTGCTTTTTCTGGCTGTTTTGCCCACCTTATGGTTGATTTTGTGTTTAAACTACCCTTTAAAAAGAAAGGTACATGTCCCTGTTGTGGGAATAGAAATCTTTCACCAAACTGATTTGGCACTGGAGGCACTCACTCATCTATGCCAACAAATTTGGAAGGGAGAGACCTGGCCAACTGACAGTAAGGGATTCATATTTGTGCCTGTTCCAAAGAGAAGTTACTGAATAGAATGCAGGAATTATTGGATAATATCATTAATGTCACATGCAAGTAAAATTTTGCTATAGATAATTCAAAAACGTCTGCAGCCATATGTTGACAGTTGACAGGGAACTTCTTCCGTGTTCAAGCTGGCTTCAGATGAGGACGTAAAAAGAGGGATGTCATAGCTGACATGGCTGAAAGCAGAAAATACCAGACAGATATTTCCTGTGTTTTATTGTTTATGCTGAGGCTTTTGATTGTGCGCACCATGACAAGCTATGGATAACATTGTGAAGAATGGGTTTTCCAGAACACTTAATTGTACTCATGGGGAACCTGTACATAGACCAAGAGGCAGTTGTTCTAACAGAACAAGGGAACATTTAGTGGTTCAAAATTAGGAAAGGTTTGTGCCATGATTGTATTCTTTCACCATACTTATTCAGTCTATATGCTGAGAAAATGATCTGAGAAACTGTATTATTTGAAGAAGAATGTAGCATCAGAATTCAAGAAAGACCAAATTAACAACCTGTGATATGCAAATAATAAAAGTCCTGCTGTATTATTTCACTTTCTGAAAGCAAAGAGAACTTAAAATACTTACTGCTAAAGATCAAAGACCACAGCCTTGGGTATGGGTTTCACTTCAATCCTCACCATTGGACCAATAAATATAACATCATGATAAATGGAGAAAAGATTGAGATTTTACTTAGATCCACTATCAACACTCATGGAAACAAGAGTCAAGAATCAGATTACATATTGTATTAGGCAAATCTTCTGCACAAGACCTCTTTAAAGTGTTCAAGAGCAAAGATGTCAGTTTAAGGACTAAGATGTTAATTGACCTCAAGCCATGGTATTTTCAGTAGCCTCATATGCATTTGAAAGTTGGACAGTGAGTAAGGTAGACTGTAGAAGAATTATTGCATTTGAGTTATGGTGTTGGAGAAGAATATTAAAAGTACCAGGGACTTCCAGAAGAACAAACAAATCTATGTTGGTAGAAGTACAACCAGAATGCTCCTTAGAAACCATGATGGTGGGACTTTGTCTCTCATACTTCGGACATATTATCAGGAGGGATCAGTCCCTGGGGAAGATCATCTTGCTTGGTAAAGGGAAAGCCCAGTGAAAAAGAGGAAGACCCCAACGAGATGGATTAACACAGTGGCGGCAGCAGTGGGCTGACGTATAACAATGATTGTGAGGATGGTGCAGGACTCGGCAGTGTTTCTTTCTGTCATGCATAGTATCATATGAACCAGAATGGACTTGATGGCACCTAACAAGAGCATTATTGTTATTTGCATATGACTAGTTGAAATTGACTCAACGGCAGTAGGATAACGTACATGGGAGAAGGGAAATACACAATTGCATCCCCATTAGTCTTCTTCCCTTACCTACGGGACAGAGGAAACAAAGTTCAAAAGCCACCATCTATCACCTAAAGTCATGAAGGACTTTCATACACTCTGAAGTGTCCAGATCTTGACACTTACGGTTTCTCCCAGTGGAGAACCTATAATATTGCATACCTCTGACCTTGGAGACTTGAGTAAGCCTTGATTCTAAGATGACCACTGAAAGTCAATCACTGAACATTTTCAAGAACTGTTGGAAAGTGGGTGCTTTCAGTTTCATCTCTGTTTGTCACTCTCTGTGATTCCTTAGTTAATAGGATGGAAGTCTAGACATGCCACCATTAGAGAAAAAAATCTGGAAAATGAATCCAACACAGAGGAAAGCAGAACCAAAAGATGATGAAGAGAGACTGAGTTCTGATGACATAATCAAAAACCTGGATCCAAACTTGGCCTTTTCACTATGTAAACCAATGAATTCCGTTTTTGGTTTCAGTTAAGTTTATTTGGATTTTCATCACTTGCAATGTAAATTGGGCAGTGAAGGACATGAAACATAACCTCACTTAGCTAAACACATCTTTTAGAGTCCAGGATTCTTCTAACCATCTCTTCTTAAAAAGTGCAATTGTCCAGGGTACACATATACCCTGTCTGGAGGGACTTTGTTTGCTTGGGACACTCTCATTGTCCAGTTCTGTGTGGCTACTCGATAGACCCCAGATAACTGCCCTTGGAGGAAGATCAAGAACAGCACTATAGAGCATGACAGGAAAGAAGGCTGCAGAAAGCAAAGAGACCCAATTCTCCTATTCACACTTTCATCATGTCTTAGCCTGTGATTCAATAGAGTCGCTCTCATGTCTGTCTTCAGACCTTTGCTTTTCCTGTAACTTGGCAAAAATATCTTAAAATCTCACTCTTCTTCAGCACTGGCAAAAGTAGATGTACAATGGAGTCAACAGCACCTACCTCTGAGAATTTTGTGAGAATTGAATGAGATAAAGTGTTATGTCAAAGCATAACAAAGCAGAACTTTAGCTTGAGACCCAACATAGTGTTCCAACTCTGACCTGAACTGAACTGAATTCAGTTCACCCCAGCAAACTTAGTAGCTGTCCTAGACTTTTCTTTGAACTTTAGCTTAATAATGAGTCACTGATTTACAACAACTATAATATGTATGGAGTCCTGGTGTGGCACTGTGGGCTAATGTGCTGAACTGCAAAGTCAGTTTGAACCACAAGATCACCAGTTCAAGCTCTCCTTGGAAACCCTATACAGGGTTGTTATGAGTTGGAACTGACTCAGAGGCACTTAACAACAACAACATTTATCTTGGAGTCTTGATGTGGTGCTGCAGGATAATGCACTGGACCGCAAGGTCTGTTTGAACAGCAAGGTTGGCGTTTCAAACCCACCAGCCAATCCTCAGAAAACATCTACAGGGTTGCTAAGAGTTGGAACCAACTCGATGGCACTTAACGACAAGCAATAACAGGTTTATCTTATCAAAGGAGTTTAGAAACTACTGTGGTTGTACATGAAGGTAGAGTTTTTGTTGAGTTGGTGATTTTGATGATGGAAAAAAATTAATGAAAAAATCCTCTGCAAGGGGAGATAGACCTTAAAGTATAATTTAAAGTAAGGAAGAGAGGTGGAGCTCATTGAATTGCTTTTAGATTACTAGTATTTCTTAGAGGATAATAATAAAAAAAAAATCTTTAGAAAGTACTTTTTAAATTGCTCATGTTCTCAGTATAGTTACTTATCAGCTGTAATAACATTGGTGGAAAGTGTCACAAATAGAAACAAAAGGAAATCTGAGACTTTTCTATGGATTCTAGTTATGCCTGCTGTTCTGTTTTCTATTACCATGAATAATTTATGAATTGGCTGTGAAAAGGTGTCTTTATCTTCCCAGAAGCACTATAGCAACTGGTTATGAGTTCTTAAAGCCGTCCAGTGCAATGCCATACATAGTGGGGATAGCATGTTGTTCAAATGTGGTTGACGCATTGCAGCCTGAAAAGGAAGGTTCGATAAGATAGCCATGGAAATGCAGAACTCAACTGACAGCTTCCTAGTGTTGGACTTTGTTTGAATAGGGATAGTTGGGGCATTTATTTCTCTCAAAAAGCAAAGTAATGTGCATGTGACCCAGTAGAAGGGACAGAGTTAATATTTATTTGTATTTGAATGTTGAGATAGGATACATAAGGTTGATTCTTTTATTTTTTTTCCATGATTAGTCATTTGTAATCCTTTCTACGTTGAGCCGTCTATCTCTGTGGAACAATGATTCAAATCTTTTTGTATCAGAAGTTCAAAAATTGTTTTAAAAGTGATTTCTCACTATATTCTCCCCAATTATTTTTCTTTCAGTTAGCTACAGATATATAGTTTCAAATAACTAATTTAAATTTCAGTGTGTGTGTTTTAATCCTGTATTGAATTCACT